CAGATCTAAAGCAATTCTAGCTCAATGAATTCAAGGTACTCATAATATTTCTAGCCTCTTATTGGAGTGTTAGAAGGTCAAAATGGTCATTTACCTACATTCACATAGTTTATTCAATAAAAAAATACCTAATTTTATATAGTACTTAGCCACTTACTTCAACTAGACATCATTTATCCATACAAAAAAATAAACATTTCCCTTAATTGGATAAGCTATATATGGGTTTATTTATTAGTCAATGCAAAAAGAATGACCTAATAAAGAAATAAGTCGTAATTTGTTATAAGCATCACTTATTTTTTCTTGTTAAAAGTTTCAGGGTATGGCTGACCGAATCAATGCAGTGGAAGGTGCTCTTTGGGAAAACATTGGCAAGTTCACTTCACCCTTATCATGGGAGCACAAGTATAATTCTGCAACAGAGAGAACAAAAATAAAAATGCTTACAATACACAAGTATATGAAAGTACGTTGATGTAATATAAAGAAGTAGCCATGTACTTTCATTCATGTGTTTATTATAGGATCTTACTTTGCTTTGTCTCTGTAACAACATTCTGACTTATGTTTTTATGTATCTCTTTTTACACAGCAACTAAAAAATTTAGAATATGGATATATAAAGAAAATGTTATAGATATACCAATTTAACAAAACACTTAGGTTGAGGGAGTAGATCAAGGTTTTTGTCATGCTTAAACATGAAAATGAAAATAGAAAAAAATAGATACTAGAAAAATCATCTATAAACCACTCACACACTTTGACATGTATTTGGATCAAACGCAGGAGGTAGATTTGCACTGGGGTTTGCTTTATCTGCGAAATAAAAAAGTGAAAAAAGGAAAAAGACTAAAAAATAGCAAGCTAAGAGTAAAAAATAAAATAAAGAACCCCACCAACTAGAGTAAATCAGGTCCAAACAATAATAGGTAAGAAGGCAAAATGTATCCACTACTAAACTACACACACTAGCCACTGGAGGAAAAACAACATGAAGCTCCAAATCTATAAATTTATGTAATGTGTTATATATGTTTGACTTTTTCATGACAGGTGGGCTGGTCAATGACTTCAAAAGTGTCGGAGAAGACAGAAAAATGGGACTTCATGTAATTCTTTACACTTTAATTTTTTATTTTTATTTATTTACATCCAATTTGATATAATATAAATTATGATGATTTTGACGTAGGTATATTATGCAAACTTAACCAAGCCCTTTCAGTGGCTTATGGTGAGGACAAATGTAAATGGATATGAGTTGGTGCCATACACATAACTTAACAACTTTTTTTGATATATTTCTTTTTCTTGACCTACATATGACGTGATTTTTTGGTGGCATGTTACCTTTTAGGTGTTGGTAAACTATATTATGCTTTAGCCCTCATCATGTTAATTGCTCCATAGGTCTTTCTTCAGGTAAATTCTATGCTTTTAAAATAGTTAATCTACAATTTTAAAATAGTAAATTCTATGCTTTTAAAACTAGTTATTGTTGTTTCTTGCTACAGTTCAAATACTTTCTCAAATATCCAATGAAATATGATGTCAAATATCAGGTATGTCCGTTATAACATTATACTTTTTGAAAATTGCTTTGTATATGAATCATATTGGTCAAAATACGATGCTATAATAGGAAAAAAAATTAAAAATAGGATGCTATAATAAACAAATCAATTAAAGAAAGCGGTCCAAAAAAATTGTAATTTTATTTTCGAATTCGGACACATGGAAACCTCATCCACCTTTCAGATCGTTGATAGTAAAATTTGGCTTATGTGGCAGGATTCTTGAAAGTAAATGTTGTTTTTAAATCACATTATATGTTATGATCTTTCACGATAATGATGATTTAAAGAAAAAAGTGTCCATTATTAAAGATGCAACTAATTCGTAGATCCATAATCAAAAGGGAGTAGCAAATGATCTTGATGTATTTTAAAGTGAACATAAAGAGGTTGATGAAGAATTCTGGGAAGACAGTAACCTGAATGATCCATCACTCAAAGATTGACTTGCTTCAATGCAAAAGATCCTTGATGTGAGTTCAAGGGTAAAACCAATGACAGTAGATATAAATTAAAAGGACAATAACATCATACTTCCACAACTGTAGCAAACAGAAGTAAAAGTAGGATGCTATAATACCATCAATTTTAGTGTGGTAAGGACAAAGCATCATACTTCCACAACTATATCAATTTTAGTGAGCTCAAGACTAATTTAGCTAGTTTAATCATTCACCACAAGCAAATTCATAAGATGTCACATCAATTTTAGTGTGGTGATGACTCATTGAACCACCATTGTGCCAATGTTGTTTATTGATTTCTAAATATATTAAAGTAGGATGCTATTTCCTACATTTATCCCTGAAACTCAATTCGGTTTGTGTAGCATGCAATTGAAAAAAAAAGAACATCGAGTGTATAACTTCTTGGTTTGGTTATTAACTGTGATAAATATTAACCCTAGGGATGTCAACAAGGGTAAACAGGACGGTTGCATCCCCCGCCCCAACCCCCGAAATTTCTCCATTCCCCCGC